GTTGATAAGACAACAAGAATACAAATTAATTAAATATTATACCTGGAAGTCGGGATGTTACACCTATTGTAAGGAAACAAGGGTCAAGTAAGACTTGAGCCAAGGTATCAGTGGTTAAACCATGTGGGATTTGTATTTTGTTGTTAATAAAAATATGGACAATGCCATTAGTGTATAGGTTCGAAATAAGGTTCGAGTCATGGTTAGGTAATAGGAACATCCGAGTGTTGGAACCGTAGCTCGTAGGTATACCAAATTAATATTTTAATAGTCTATGATGGATAGCTTGTTGACATTTTTTTTACAATTAGAGTTACCATTCTTCATGGTTTTCAGTACATAATATCGAGTTGGTTTTTTTACCTATGTTGTGTTTTTTAAGCTTAATGGTTCATTCTTCATGGTTTTCAAGCCCTATTGTAAGGAAACAAGGGTTATGTAAGACTTGAGCCAAGGTATCAGTGGTTAAACCATGTGGGATTCGTATTTTGTTGTGAACAACACTATGGAAAATGCGAATAGTGTATGGGTTCGAAATATGATTCAATTCATGGTTAGCTAACAGGAACATCCAAGTGTTGGAACCACGGTTTAAGTCATGGTTAGGTAATAGGGACATCCACGTAATCAACAAGGATTTTCTCCATTCTCTATTTGGAGATTGAAAGATGATCATAGAGTTGTGAATATATAATTTTGGAAAATTGATGGAGTTAACGAGGCTTGTGAGTGAGATTTTTGTTGTTGGGTTTGACGACACCGATAAAAACACACGGTGAGCCTAGAAGAGCATAAGAAAGAAGATATGAAATAGTACATATTAAATTAGATCATATAATATATATTAGTTTAAAGGTAATCTTCAGAAAAATCCAAATATTTTGGTTTATTGGTAATAAATAATGAAAAAGCCCTAAAATTTTCATTAATTAATGAAAAAGCCCCAAAATTTGGATTAATTAACGAAAAAAGACGAGATACCGGCTAAATCTGTGAAACCGGCCACGAAGGGTTAATCCGAAGTTTTAGCCGGTAATCTGTCCTTTTTTGTAAACAAAATTTAATATGGAACTAAATCGTAAATTGGGCTAAAATATTGGAACTTTTTCGCAGATTTCACAAAATAGAACAAAGTTGGCTGTTACATAAATATTATAAGGGGTTAAATATACATAAAAAATGATTTTCAAAGCATTTGTATATAATAGGTTGTTTTTTTTTGGAATTCACATGTAATAGGTTGGATTCATAAAAGTGTGACAAGTTCACACGTAGGTTTACCAGTCACAAAGCATAAACATATAACTAACAGATTTTAATAGTCCCAAAAATAATATCATGGTTTTTATGAGCATTGAGATCTAATATGTTTTTTTTTTTTTTTTCATATTTTTCCAAAATTTTACATGAAATGTTAGGTTTTATAATCATATTGAATCATTAATAAGTATTATAAGATTATTAAAAATACACATATATCACTCTCTCATTAGTTTTGATGTTTGTCATTATATGATATTTTTGAAATAAATAATATATATATTTCAATTTCAGTTTTTTTTTTTTTTTTTTTAATTTTTAAATTAAAAAACTCACATAATACTAATGAATATTTTCTTTCTTTCCTTACTCTAAATCCTAATTTAATTTTACTTTGGTCAAATAAAACTACCAAAATTAAATGTAGATTAAATGTTGAATTAAATGTCAAACATTTTTAAAATCGATTATAATAAATCAATATTCATTTTGTTATATGTCTTTCTCTCATTAGTTTTGATATTTGTCATTTTATAGTATTTTTTAAATAAATAATATCCACATATCAATTTTTAGGTGTTTTTTTTTAATTTTTAAATTAAAAACTCACATAATACTTCTACTCATATATATATATATATATATATATATATATATATATATATATATATATATATATATATATATATATCACTGTTGTAAAAATCCCGACTAGGTCCCGATTAATCTCCGATTAATCCCTAGGCGCTACTCGACCGATTAGAGGGCGCCTAGCGTTTAATCCTTGCATACATAATGAGTGAATCATTATAAAACGATGAAATTTTAACATTTTGAAGAAATTTTATCTCAATGGAAACTATTTGAGGCATGATTAGTGTTGTATTAATCATATTAACCTATTTTGTTATCATATTAGTGGTATTTACGAGCTTTGATATGATATTAGTCATATTCTTTTTTCTAAAATTCAACAAATTAGCAATTAATGGTACCCGATTAATCTCCGCCTAGCCGATTAATCCCTTGACCCCAGTCCACCGACTAGCTAACGTCGAGCGATTTTTGCAACCTTGATATATATATATATATATATATATATATATATATATAATGTATTAAATATAGTGAATGAAATAATAATTTGTAATGAATAATTTCCGTCCTTCTTTACTCTGAATCCTAATCTAATTTTATTTTTGTCAAATAAGACTACCAAAATTAAATGTATACATGTCAAGCATTTTTAAAATTTTCTCTAATAAATAAAGGTTCTTTTGCTACATGTCATATTTTCATTTAATTTGTCAAATGTTATTATTTGGTTACTTTGAATTAATTTGTTTTCACATGTCATTTTATTAGTTTTTTTATTTGATTAAATTTCAAATAATATTTTAATGTAATAATTATAATAAATGTAGTAATAAATAGATATAAATTTCATTAATACACTTACCTTCTAATTTCAAAATTCCCAAATTAAATCTTATTAATTTCTTTTGTTTATTTATTTAAATGATTTGTTTAAATTTAAAATATAAAAAGAAACATTTCAATTTTGAAAATTCATTATTTTTCTTATTTTCTTATAAATTTAAAGTTCTCAAATATTTAGACTTTTATATCTATTTTTTTTTAAATTAACTCATTTAATACATCAGTTTCATAACTAGTCTATTATAATAAATCAAGATTGATTATGTTATATGTCAATCACTCATTAGTTTTCACACTTGTTATTTTTGAAATAAATAATATTTACAATCAATGTGTGTTTTTTTAAAAAATTTTAAATTAAAAAACATAATACTTCTATTTATATATGTAATGTATTAAATGCAGTGAATGAAATAATAATCTGTAATGAATATTTTCCTTCTTTTCCTTATTCTAAATCCTAATCTAATTTTATTTTTGTCAAATAAAACTACCAAAATTAAATGCAGAGTAAATGTCGAATAATATCAAACATATTTAAAATGTTATGAACGTCAAATTTTGATTTCGTAAAATTAAATGAAGCAAATGTCAAACAATGAAAGTTATGTTAAAATTAAATGCCAGGACTGATTTCTTGAAATCTAAATTTATAACATTAAATTCTGAAATTAATCTCGTCAAACTTTTTTATAGCGGTAGTTATATTAAAATTAAAAATGAAAAACAAATAAATAAACGTGTTTGTTGGCAACTGTTTTTTTTTTTTTTTTTTTTTTTTTTTCCGACATAAACAATGCATATTTGTATTACCTGTTGTTATTATTTCATACCTAATGTTCGTTATAATTATCATTTCTTTGAATCTATTTTCGAAATTGATATAATATATATGTTATATGTCATTTATAATGATATGAATATGCTTATTTTGTCTTTTACCGTAATAAATATGTTAAGTTACAAATATTTTTTATGCATAGTATAACTTACATCTTGTGTTTTTTTCTCATTGTTTTCTAATTTCAACAGTAACAATCAAACATCTTCATCAAGTGTAAATATGTCACCGGTGATAATCAAAATATCAACCTAAATATATCAGTGGATATCAACTTAAAAGTTTTGATTTGAATATTAAAAGCCCATTATCCTACAAATAACTCTAAAGCCAGACAAAATAAAGAAAAAATTATTTTGATAATAAAATATCCAAGCATATACCCACCAAAGGTACTATGCTATCTATCAAGTTATTTATCAAGTTTCATATGATATTTGAAATAGTTTTTGAATATATTGTTTATTATTTTTTTTATACTGACATAAGTATTACATATTCGTATTAAATAATGTTTTTATATCATAGGTAATGTGGGTCATACTAAAAATGTTTTGAAATTAATCTCGCCAAACTTATTTTTTTCTTTGAACGACAATTATATTAAAATTAAAAATAAAATAAAAAACAAATAAATAAATGTGTTTGTATATTAACATACAAATTTCCAATCTACTTTTGATTTTAATATCAAGTCCATTATCCAACAACTCTAAAAAAAACAGATGAAAACAAAAAAAGAATTTATTTTGATTATAAAAGATCTAATAATATACCCACCAAAGGGTATTATGCTATCTATCGAGTTAGCTATTGACTTTTATACATAGAAACATTAATTTATGATGATAGGTTCAAAATGCATCGCCCAAACTTCATAATCCCCTAGAAAAAAAAAAAAAAAAAATAGAATGCAAGTATTAGAACCAATCCTACTAGGCAAATTGACGTTTGACGAATCGATTCTAAACATGATTTCCATACAATTGAGAAAATCATTTCACTAAGCATAAACTGAATTCAAATTAAAACACACAATCTAAACAAAGAACTTTAGATCAAATTACAAATGATTGCAAAATGTGGAATAGATCTAATAAATTCTGAGAACAAAATACACAAAGAACAAGATCAAATGTAATGATTTAAAAAAGAGCTCACAGAAATTCCCCGTTGTCGCTCCGATACCACTTGTTAGATCGTAAGATTCTTTTAGAATGAAATCATATCAAGACGTAATCAAGAATAGACACACGGATATAAATAAAATTTAACTTTTCATTAGAGAGTATAAGAAATGTAATTACAATTGTGTAAGACGTCTTTTAAAAGATACTCTACTAGACTACTACTAACTATCCATCCTTATATATGACACATAAGGAAGTCGGTTATGCTTCTAACCAATAAAATCAAGACACCTAGGTACAACACAGCTGTCAAAATAAACTAACAGAAGCTGCAGACCTAAGAACAAGAAGATACAAACACAAACATATTGTTCATAATTACAAGTGAAACTATTACATCAAAAACTGAACACTATTTCGCATCCAAACTCATAAACAATTTTACAATACGAACCCCAACACATGCAGTAAACAGGTCTCACGCCTAGTAATAATTAATTTGCATTTATATGATTATATCACAACGTCATAAAAAGCAACTCATTTTTCCAAACTTTAGTGCGAGATTAAGTTTAAAACCATGAACCACATACATTAGCTTAAAATGTCATACACACTGCAATACAACGTTCGAGGAGCACTAGACTCAAAAAATAAGGCTGATATGTCAATAACACAAATTATATTAAATGTCTATTTCAAGTTATCGTTTGTTCTTTTTCTATTTCTTTTTTCTATGGTACTCGATTTCTAGGATTATTATTCTCGTTGTTATAAGGCTCATAGCCCAAGTCCTTTTTGTATACATTGTACTTTGAAAATTCTATCCAGTTATAGCATTGCACTTACAATATCTTTCATATTAGAACCTGGTGCTTATGAAAATAAAGTTTACCAAATAAAGTAAGCATCACCCAACTCTACCACGTCCCCTCCCTCTTCCCCTCCCTCTTCCTCTTCCCCTTCCCCTTCCTCTACCACCACCACCACCATCTTCATCTCTTTCAAAACTAAACATGCTCATTCTGATATCATCTGCTTTCGTCACATGACCACTCCTATGTTCCTGAAACAATCACACCTCAACAATGTCAAAGTATTAAAAAAAAAAAAAAAATAGAAACAAACAATAAATTAGAAGGTGTATTATATTATATGCTTACATGAATGTCTTCTAAATCAAATTGGTTTTGAAGTTGGCGTGCGAGATCCTCATCTTGATTAAAATTAGGGTTTTCTGGTCTTGATGAAGAACTCCCACCAGCTCTTTTTCTCTCCCACTCATCTAGAGTTAAAACAGCGGATTCCTCCTCTTCCTCCTTACCCCTCCCTCTTTGTTTCCACCCCCTAGAATGCCCTTCATTTCGGTTGGAATTACTCATTTTCTGGAGAAGCTTTTGTGCAGCAGCTTGGTTTTGTACAGGGGCAGACTCGGCAACTCAAAAATATAAACAATTCTGTCGTTATTGAATTTATGGTTTTTGGTATCATTTTTATCATACTTTCATCCAAATAACAACATAAGGGTAGATTTTTTATACAAAAAAAAAAAAAAAAAAAAAAAAGTTGGCAAGTAAAATATAAATGAAAGTACATTGCTATTTCTTGCTATATTATATACAATACCTTCTTTTGGTCTTGCTTCAGTAGAAGGTTGGTTTTGTGTGGTTTTCTCTGAAAGAGAACCAGACTTCACATTCTCACCCCCTTTTATACCCTTTTCAACAACAGTGGGTCCAGAAGCTTTAGATGTGTAGATAAAAGAAAGAGGCATTCAAAAGGTTTTAGTGAATTTGAAATAAAAGAAAGTTTTTTTTGAAGATAATATTAATTGTTTTATCTTTACCAGAAGGTGTATTTTGTTGATTGATCCGAATCTGATGTGGAGATACTCCAGCCTGTAACTTGTGAAAAGGTGGTGGGCCAGGGGGACCACTGTGATCATCAGTATGTGAGAATTTTAAGGTAGAACGGGTAAAGCCTGCATACTTTTGGTTCATTTCCCACTCTTGATATAATGATGGAACAATACCTCCAACAACTGTTATTGCCTTTGCATTCAAGCATAAAATACCACTATGCATTACAACTTTATTTTCCAATCGAATCTGCAAACCAGAAATATGAGAGTTTAATTTATTTAGCCACTTTTTCAATAATAAATATTCTAACATTCATCAACTTTTTCAACATAACAACAGGAAATGTTTTGGTTACTGATGGAATACAATCTCGAAATTTCTTATTTTTATGATTCATTCCATACATCTCAATTCATTAATTAATTAAGGTGCAATCAGCATAGTACCCAATCTATCTTTCCTCTTTGTATGTACCTTGGATCCAGGAACAACATTATCAGGAATCGAGGGAATATGAGTGAACTCTATAGCAGTAATTTCTGAATGTCCATCAATAAGCTTCAATTTCAATAGCCGTTTACCATGTGAACCCCCTGAACTTTCAGCTATAGTACTTTTACTTATATCCCTCGCAGAAGCTACCTACACAAAAGCACCAAGTATCCGCATTTACTTGACCAGTTCGTATGTTCAATTCTTTCTAGTGAGCTACAGATCTTGTTGAGAAACAAAGATCGATTTTCGAAGACATTTAAGATAACAATGGAGCATAAACTTACCTGGAGAACTTTAGGGCCATCTAAGTGAGTGGATTTTCGGAGGGTGGAAATGTCAGGCAAAGATTTCCCTCCGATTGCTCGTAAGTCCATGTTACAGAGCTCCGACTCAACAGAACGAACGGTGGTAGAGCTTCCATTGAACTTCGTTTCGATTAGCGACTTGATTTGATTGATTTCTCGAAAACACCAGCCTCGGTTAATTAGGGTTTTAATCAAAACCTCCGAGGAGGAGGACGAAGATGAAGAACTAGCCATCTCATTGAGCGCCTTCCAGGTGTTCGATCTTTTGAATCATGTAAATTGTAAACTACTAAACCATTAATGGATTTCTGGGCCAATTATTGGGCTCCGGCCTGCGTGAGCTGAAGTCCGAACACCACTGAATTACATATTTCCATGATTTGTTGTTGTTTTAATATATATTAATACAATTTGCATAATTTTGATAAGTTTAGGTTTTTTTATGTCGAATAAAATAGAGTTTTTTAACATATTACAACGAATCATATATAATATCATATTTTCTAAATTTATGGATATAGTATTCAAAATAATTGGATTTATTATACAAAAATAATTAGCAGTGTAGTTTGTTGTCAATTTATCATCTTACTCGTTATATAGATAACTACGATATTTTATTTAAAAAAATTGTTAAAAAAACAAAAACAAAACAAAATAAACCCACTTTAAATGCTTGTATTTTATCCCAAAATTCACATGTACCACATAATATTTTTCTACAAATGCATAAATACTTCCAAAATAAAAAATCTTAAATTCATTTTCTTTTTCGTAAATGAATAAATACTTCCGAATGCATAAAAAAACCTTATGTATCTTGGTGTTTTAGTTTTCATTGATTTGGTATTCGGTATAAGCTCTATTATCATAGCTACCGGTTAATTTTAGTACTGCATGTATATGTATATTTTTGAAGTCTTTTTAGGAAAAAATTTTACTTATCTTAACAATTTTCGTAAAATAACAGTTCTTACTATCAGAGATGCAGAGTTTAGTTTTTATGAAAATATCTCTTTTTCAACATTTAAGTACGTTATGATTTAGGGATCAAATAAACGGTTATTAAAATTAAATGTTAAATTACGAAAATACCCATAGTCATTTACCAATTGAACCCTAATACCTTTTCTCTCTTCCCCGCCGTCGACCCTCACACTCTTCTAGTTCGTCTTCGATCACCGTCTTGCCGGTTGTCTCCATCGTCAAGCGTCTCCCTGGCACTCCGTGTATTTGAAACAGGTATGCTTTTGTTTCGACACTGCCATAGATCTCTTCCGATGGATGTTTCTCATTTCTCGTTTCGGATTTCTTCGTTCTTGTCATTCTATTTGAAGCTGCAAGTGTTAAATGTTCTTTTTTTTTTTTACTCTTTGTGATAGTACCTTGAATTCATAGTCAATACATGAAAAATAAGTGATCTCTGCCGGTGTTAATGAGATTTTCCAATGTGTAAAATCTAGTTTTTGTCTATTGCATGGGTATGAATACCGTGGATTCATATCTAGGTGTAAGGATTTAATTGATCCCTTTATCGATTAAACTAAGTTGAAGATAACTAAGAAGGAATTAATTGCAATCAATCTTAGTGCAAATTTGTTTCGTTATATTAGTGGGGGTTTGACAAAGCTTAAAATTTTAGTTTTTAGACTTATTACCGGTTCCTCTTTAAAGAAATTGACCAATATAGCCCTCGCCCTAACGTTAAACATCGCCTCCATCTACACACAACGCCTCCGAATCGAGTTTTGTTGCTTGCGTTCTCTTCCATCGCTGCTGCTTCTGTTGTCGAGCCATCCCTTCCCTGCTCGCCGCCGGTATCCCTCTCGTCTCCACCGGCCGGAGATCGTCGCAGCCCAAAAGGTTTGTGCTTTTTCCGTTCTCTTTCCGTTTTCTTTCGTGTTTGTGTTGCTGTCTCCAATTGTCGATTTCTCTTGCTGCTGCTGTCAATTTTCTCCTTTCTCTTGCTGCTGTCAGTTTCACTCCAGTGCTGTCGATTTTTTTTGTTGTCTGAATTTGTGTTGTGTTGATTTTTTGGTTAGAATGGGTGCTGTCGATTTTTCCTTCTTTTGCATCTGATATGAATCTGTATTGTTGTCAATTTTTTGGTTATCTGGATTTGTGTTGTGTTGATTTTTTTTCTTTGAATTTGAGCTGTCGATTATCAATAAAATTCTGAATTTGAATCTGATATGAATCTGTGAAATCAGATTTGTGATTCTGTGTATATGTTTGCGTTTTTGTCTGTGCTTCAATTATCAATAAAATTCTTTAGATGCTTACCTTGAATGCAATTAATACGAGTCAAATTTAGGAAGATCAGAATTACAATTGGATAGACTGTTAATCTGTTATTAGACTTCATATTGTAGGTTAGCTTCTAGAGTTAAAGCTCAAAAACAACGCCTTCCAATCTGTTAGACTTCATACTGTAGTAGGTTAATTTTACAGTTTTAGCTCAAAAACATCACCTTTCAATCTGTCCTTACAGTTGTATGACATGCTATCTTGGACTTATTTTATTGAACGACATGTGGAATTGACAATGGCTTCATAGACAATATAAGAGGTTCATTTTGAGAATCACTTTATATATTTTTTTTACATCATTCTTCTTACATGACTAATATCATTTCAATTGTACAATCTTCTTCTAGTATAATACAATGTATGTATATCCTTAGCTACAAGCCTTTCATAAAATAACAACATACTTTATATATATTAAAATAAGATGTAATGTCAACTTAAGCACATTGTTATTTTTTATAACCTTATATTTTTTCCCTTAAATAGACTACCCAACTTCTATTTCTACTTTTTTTTTTCTTTTTGCAGGTATCGCGAATGGGCTATTTTTAATCAAGTTAAAAAAAAAAAAAACCGAAAGATTATCCATAAATAATCAGAAATGAGTTTATTTCTAAAGCTTAGGCACCATTTACCCCATGGATTTCACACACGTGCTCCAATAATTTCCCTCAATTCCATAAACTCAACATGGTTGACCAGAAACTTCAGTCAACCCGCAAAACAAACACAAGAACACGAAGAAGAAGAAATAGAAATCGACCAAAAACGTCTCCCAACCGATTACGACCCCACAACATTCGATCCAACCGAACACCGGAGCCCACCAACAGACCGTGTTTGGAGACTCGTGGACGAGATGTCATCACTCACATTACTCGAAGTGGCCGAACTCTCTTCAATTATGATGAAAAAAATGGGCATGAAAGAGCCGCCGGTGGTGGCGGTGATGAAACCGGGTGCCGCCGGTTTGGCCGCCGCGGGATCTGGCGGTGGGCAGGCGGCGGCTAAGGAGGAGGTGAAGCCGGAAAAGTCGGTTTTTGAATTGAAGTTGGAGTCGTTTGAAGCGGCTTCGAAGATTAAGATTATTAAGGAGGTTAGGAGTTGTACGGATTTAGGGCTTAAGGAAGCGAAAGAGTTGGTTGAAAAGGCACCGGTTGTGTTTAAGAAAGGGGTGAGTAAAGAAGAATGTGAGCAAATAATTGAGAAAATGAAAGGTGTTGGTGCTAAAGTTGTTATGGAGTAGTGAGGAATATGATAAATTTGAGGTGGTTTTTTTGACATTGAAACATTTTTTTTGTTGTAGGGTTTAGTGGCGTATTTGTAGTTGATGTGTGCTTGTGAACCATTTCTAAAAGGGGGAATTTGGATTTTTTTTTTTTTTTTTTTTTTTGGGACCCTTTTGGGATGTATGAAAGCGCAAGATTTAATAATGTGATATGCTTGTTTTGAGGGGTTGTTGATTTTGGTAGAATTTGATGTAATTGGATTTTGAGATTTGAATACTTTGAATTCCATGTTTGATAGATAAATATAAGTACAAGACTTATTTATATATTTAAAATGAACAAAAGTATAATTTTTTCTGTATATGTATTACTGAATTCCAAACCATTTAGTCCCATGCTTGTAGATCAGTGTTTTTTGGATCTCGGTATGGACTATGATTTGGTTTTCATTTTTCATTTGTCTTATTTTGTAATCATATTTGATTTTGATAGATTTTATTTTATTATAATAAACTAGTAATAATTCGTTTTTGAACGCTTGACAAAGTGAGACAAGTTACCACATTGGAGTTTAGTAACAATTTTTTAATTTTATTCTATGTAACAATGTTTGTTTTTGAATATATTATACTCTTAATTTAGGTGTCGTAAAGTTATTATATATTTTAAGCTTCAAACTGAGTTATTCAGTGAAAATTATAGACAGAAAGTTATAAATTTCACATACAAACTTTTTAACAATCATGAGAACATCTAGTCTACGATGATGGACCGCAAAAATCTTTAAAAAAATTAAAAAAATATATTGGCTCACTTAGATTTTTGCAGTTGTTGGCCTGCAAAAAAAATAACTTTATTTTTTTTAATTTAATAAAAAATCACATGTTTTTAGTTTTATAAAAAAAAATACAGCATTTTTGTATGTGGTAACATGCAAAATCTGTAAAAAAAAATCACAAACCAACTAAATTTTCGTAATCTATGGTTATTATAATCATATTAAAAAATTTAGAAAATTTGACTTTTATGGTGATTTCTTTTGTTATTATTGTTTTATTTTTGCTTTTAATATTAGGATTTATTTTTAGATAAATTATAATTATTACTTTATTATTATTTTTTTTTGTTATTATTGTTTTATTTTTGCTTTGAATAGTTATTGAAATGGTCTCCATGGTTTGTAAAAATTTCACGTTAGTTTCTATCTTTTTTTTATGTTAAGACCGTCATAAGGTGTCATTTTGTTGTGTTTTTGTCCCTAATAGGCATGAAAAGACTATATTACCCTTTGTATTTTCTTTTCTAATTATTATTATTTATTAATTAAAAAATAAATTAAACTAATTTATAAATAAGTGGATCCAACTACTCCACTCACACCCATTCTACACACATCCACCTCTAACAACCTCCCCACTGTCCACCTTCGGCAACCCCATTCAACCACCACAATTGACATCGAACAACACTTCCATTCAACCCTCCAAAGTCTTATTTCTGGCCAACGCACCAAAATCATAAGAATTTAAACTCTCTCTCTCTCTCTCTCTCTCTATATATATATATATATATATATATATATATATATATATATATATATATATATATATATATAATCACAATCATAATATGTAATCAAACCAAACCATTCTCCCCGTCAAACCACTACATCAGCTTCAAACACCACTAACTTCACTATCAAACATCGTTACCAACTACTACACCCTACCACTCTTTACAAAATCAAAACGAAACCAAAAGAAAAATCAAAATATGTATACAAAACGGAAACCTAGCATCAAAGTATTTTCCAGAAATCATTCCAAAAATTAAACACAAAGTTTGTTTGTCAATCTTTTGGTTATGTGGGTTTCAAGAAATCTCCCGATCTGTCGATTTTATGGGTTTCGGTGGCTATGTGCAGAAATATAGGTGACGGAGGGAGAGTAGTGGTTCAGGAGAGGTGACAATTTTTAGGTAAAATAAGAGAGATGAAAGTAGGTTCGAGAGGTATAGGGATAAGGTGACGATATGGCAGCAAAGTGAAGATATGACAATGAGGGATAAGGTGGGTTTTAGATCCACAAGTTGTCTGCTCCGACGAGATCACCGGATGCAACGACAACTCTGATAACATACAAAATCTTCATTAGTTACATCACTATTTATAAAGTGCATACCAGTCATATGTAATCAAAACAGAATAGGCCTTCGAATAAGTGACCTTAACTCCAAATTCACAAGGAACTGGGGTAAAGCAAAAATTCACAGATTCTAAGTCTATAACATCCTAGTTACATATAACCTTAGTGTATCCACTTAGCAACTATCAACTTAGTAATGAAGATCCTTTTTAGTTCTAAAGTAAGTAATTATAGTAACACAAAATACCCCTATGGTATTTTAGACCTGGATTCTGTTATAATGTTCTCATTGTAGTAGTGTTGGTAAGTTTTTAGACTTGTTGACACATCACAACCATTCTTGGGCATGTGCTAATCACTCCTCGGAACAACCTAGTTGATCAGGCTATGCCACTCCCACGACTGACCATACATCCCCGAGCTTACCTGTGATATTCAACAATCGTAATACTTTTGTTCTTGTCATTGTGACACGGATTTTAGTATGAATGCAAACACGTATACTTTGTTAAATATTTTATTATTTAAAAGTATAAACTCGTGGTCAGTGTATTTTTAATCCCATTGTATTTATAGTTAGTATATCTTTTATGGGTTGATATACCTAATTCACTATAAACAATGCTCTGTTACCAATCTGTCACACCCTAAAACCGAGAACGGCGGAAACGTTCTGGGGCGGAGGATGTCATGTAATGTATCACAACAATGCAAAAGTAGTAAACAAGCAACAATATCATCCATTGCATTAATAGTATAATTTTATTTACAAGTGTGTTCTTTCATAGTATAAGACAACATAACGAACAATCAAAATAAAAGAGGAGTCTAGATTTCTCCGTCTTCACAAAACCTGGTTGTCGTACCTATCTATTTGTGACCTGAGAATACAAGTTATTTTGAAAGCGAGTATCAGCAATAAAGCTGGTGAATTCATAAGTATTAGTGCGTCTTTGATTGATAATACTGGAAAGTAAAGACTTGTAAACATTTGGAAAAATTTTGTATAAGTATGAACTGTTTGAAAGTAGTTGAAAACATTTGAACACCTAGGAAATCCCTATGATTTCTATTAGTATAAAAAGTAGTCTTCTACCAAGACCTAGCTGTTTTGAAAGTAGCCTTCTACCAAGACTAGACTGTTTTGAACGTAGCCTTCTACCAAGACTAGACTATACGCCTATTGATATTATTTTCTACCTCATCAATTATGTGAATGTGGCACATGGTAAAGGTATTAATAATATATTACTCGGATTTTTAATTTGTTTGCAATTATCGTATGCAAAGTGTAAGTACTGTAGTATTTGTAATAAGTGACTACTTTGTACTAATTTGCCTTAATTGAGGGTTAAGGTATAATGTGGTGGCTAGAACCTGTACTATATGCTCTCTATCAGGAGATTCTGGGAACCAAACATGATCCTGCACTTCTACAAGCCGTGAACATCCACATTACTATGATCATGTATACACAATATAATTATCATAATGCAGAGTGATTCATTGGTATAGTTAGATCCTGAACTTGTTCCATGCTATAGCACTTTGTTATGTTAGCTCTGTTATCGTGTATTGTAAGTGTAATCGTGTAAGCGTATCTATGTAAAGGTATTCATGTAAGCGTATTCATGTAACATGTAATGTATTAGTATAGACTCATGAATGAACTGACTCTTGTGTGATTCCTTGTACTTGGAATGGTAAATAGTATCTCCTAACTACACCTATTATAGTTACTAGTGACGTACGAGTATAACCGGGAGTATAACTTTGCTACCTAAAGGTACTGAACTGACTCAGGGAACCTTTATACCTATATATGTATACATGATATATAATTAATATTTAGACGACATTCGGACGAGCAACCGATGCCCTAAGGCCACATCCCAACGAAAAAAAAAGAAATAAAGCGAGCTAGTCGTCCTAAGTCCTTTAAACATTATTTATATAACTATACATATCTAGGCATAAATTTTACAATATAAAAGCACAAACGAAGTTTTTAAAACCTTTGACAAGTTTAATACTAAGGAAGGATGACTTGATGTCAGTTTATAAAACGATTTGAAAGAATTTTGTTTGATAAGACAGTTTAAGTATAAGGAAAACCGTTGTTTGAAAACACATTTGTAACAGAGTTTGAAAGGAAACTTACAGTATGTAAGATAGTTTGATAAAGAGTTTTAAACATGTAAAAACGTTTAAGAAAGTCATTTAAAGAAATCTATTTGGTAAAATAGTTAACGTATAGTAAATCCATTTGCATGCTAGTTATTAATCACATGTGATTGATATAATAACTAAACATGATTCAACTTGTATCCCCCATAAAGCGTTTATAAACATTTAAAAGGTTAATTAAGGGGTATGAACTCACCTGCAACGAGTGGATCGGATGGAAGTGTCGGACACGTGTTCGGTGTCAAGTGAAGACTTAAACACACACAATGATCCTAATAACATATGGTCAAAGTGTTTGGATGTCATACCCCCAAACCTGAACGGCGGAAACGTTCGGGGGCGGATGACTTCATGTGGTAACGTAACAAATGAATACATAGTAAAGAAAGCAATACAACCATCATATATATAATTGAAAGTTTACATTTGTCAAAAGTTACATGTTCAAATCCAATTACAATATGATGTCAAAATATGAGATTAAACTGGCGCCGCAGCATCCCTTCATCAAAAGCATAATGATACCTGTAGTTACTGAATCCCTGGGACATACAAGTAATTTTGAAAGAGTAGATCAGCATTTAAGCTGGTGAGTTTCATAAGTATTTAATGACAATGTTTGTATGAAATGAAATATCTTGTCCTTGTTTGTTTGTGTTTAGAAAATCCTATATTTTCTACTAGTA